CTGCGTGCGTAATGACTCGAGATGTCATAGATATTTTATTCTTATCTCGGCAGTTGGCCGGAGTTGATTTTGTGATATTATGACGGCGTGAAGCCGTGATGGCTTATTATTTGTTAAGCCGGTTGATTTCGTTTACTTTTATGACATCTCGTTGTTAATACATTTTCATGGAAAATTGTATGTATGCCGAAGCATCGGATTTTGGTACCCCGGGTTTCAAGAGTATTTTGGTAACTCTTTTTCATTAAATTACATTATTTTTATTTAATTGGGGTACGGGCTCCCACAGTTTTGATTTATGTTGAATATGATTGGTATATCAGATGGAAAATAGGTTGTTGGTAATCTCCACAAAAATGAATAAGATAATTATGAAAATAATAAAAAGAACTGATAAGCCATCTAATAACTGTTAACCGACATCATGCATAATCATCTTGTTTGTGCATTATAAGTGATTACTGTTGTTATATTATAGGAATATCAAGGCTTAACCGGATAGCAGCTTCCGAGGAGTATCAGGTGAGGTTGCATATACGTCATTCCACCCGTGATAGCCGGGATGGTTGGTCTTGGAACTACATAGGTTCCATTGCATCTTATGGTTTATTGTTTTTGATATCTTTGTGATATTTGTTGATATTTTTTGTGAGGATTTGTATGTTGCTGAAATTGTTTGATGAGCTGTGATGTGATATGTTCATATGCATGTTGTCTCATGATCATACCTTGGGAGGTTGTCAGTCCTCAGTATAGTCGGTTGACCGTGGTCGGCATAGGTTGCCGGTTTGTGGATGTTAGCTGTTGTCGTTGGTTGTGAGTAGTCTATTGTTGTTGGCATCTGTTGCCAGTTGTCCTTTGTTAGTTGTTGGTTTCCTTGATAATTGTCAGATGAATGTCACTTGTCGTTTCTTAATGGATATTGAGATATGTTGGATGTCGGCTGTGGTCGACGGTTGGGTAATTATTATTTCTAAGGGTATGTCGATACCCAAAGATCGGATTAATGAGAATTGTTGTTGGTGTGGTTACGAGTTGCTGTGGTGATTGCTGTTATCGTCTTGTGTTGTGATTCTACCCGGGGACCGGTTTGTGATGTTGATTGGGTATGGTTCGTGCTGGTTGCCGGCTACCCGGTGAGCGAGGCTCACGTGATTTGAGTTTGTTTTGGTACCGGGTTAGATGATCAGCAAGCACAGTACCAGTATGTTCTCATACAATGAGGAACCTCTGTTGAGTATAGTCTGTCAGGACTAGAGTATGTGTTGTATAGTCTGTTGAGACTGGGTCAGATACCCAATATGTGGTTGAGTTGAGGTGTCCTGGTCGGGCACTAGTGTATAGTACAGTCAGTATTAGATAGTCAGTGCATTGCATAGTCGATGAGGTGGACATTTGCATAGTCCGCATTGTTCTTTATGACTGCATTTGTTCAGTGTTCTGTTCACTACTCGTATGCCGTATTGATGTGCTCTTGACTGTTAAATATATGCTATGTTGTTCTTCATGGGTTATGTGCCGGTGAGATTATGGAAATCTCACCCCTCACCTGCCCCATCGGCAGGCTACGTTGTTCCTTGTGCAGGTATGCATCATGGCAGGCTGTGGCATCTCCCCCGACGGATCTGGATCCATAGTGTTGCATCGAGTCGATTCATGCTTTTGCTGTGATTCTTAGAAATTGCTTCCGGTGTGCTATAATTGTTATTACACCCGAGATCGGGTGATTGATATTATCTTTGGGCCGTTGGGCCGGATTATTCTGTTGTATTTACTGTTTGTGCCACGTGTCGGCACTGTTGTTCAGTAAATATTATGTATTGGGTAAATTTGGGTCGGGGTGTTTCATATTTTTTTAGAATTTGGCGGAGTGATAAATTTCATTATCATTCTTAGCGGGAATGAACTCCAAATCATGTATATTTTAATTTGGATAGGAGATATTAACTAAATATTATTATTCAAATAAAGAATGAATTCAAGTTACAAACCGACTAGTGCGAATTCACAAACTGTTTTGCTTGCCATACAATCATCATCGATTCTTGCGACCCTAATTGGTCAAGTGATTGGAGATTTAACTCGGTTAGCCAGTTCTTTTTCATCTTTGATAGTTAGTTTCAGGGGCGGATCCAGGAAAAAAAAGTTAGGAAGGGCCAAAACATGTATAAAAAAATTTGGATTAATGTCATGTTTCATCCCTGTATTGCCTCCTCGAATTGAAATTCATCCTTGTTTTGAGTTTTGATTGGTTTTGATCCCTCAGTTGGTCAATTTTTTAATGTTTTAGTCATTTTTACCGATTTTACCCCTAAATTCAGCACTTTACTGTTCAAACCAGTTTACCCACCCGAAATTCGACCCAACTAACCGACCCAACCCGAAACCCTATTAAAAAATCTCTAATAAACAAATAACTCTACCTCCCAACATAAAAAATTTTAAAATCATAAAAAAAATACAGATTATTTTTAAATTTTTTTAAAAAAATTTAAAAATCATAGATCAAATTATTTTTTAATTTTAAAATTTCAAAAATTTAAACCTTTCCTCTCCACATGTTTTTTTTCTTTTTTATTTTTATTTTTTTCTTTCTTCTTCTTGTCCTCCTCCTCCTTCCCCCTCAACACCAAAAATTTAAAAATTATAAAAAAATACAAATTATTTAAAAATTTAAAAATCATAATTTAAATTATTTTTTAATTTAAAAATTAGAAAATTTAAATTTTTTTATCTACTTTTGTTCTTTTTCATTTTTCCCTCCTTTCTTCTCCACACGTCCAGAAAAAATTAAAAATTTTAAAAATTTTAAACTAACAAATAATTTACTTTACGATTTTTTATTTTTAAAGAAAATTTAAAATTTTTTTGTACTTTTTTTAATGATTTCCAAAATTTTGATATTGGGAGGTAGAGTTATATATTTATTGGAGATTTTTTAATGGGGTTCCGGGTTGGGTCGAATTTTGAGTGGGTAAACTGGTTTGAATAGTAAAGTGTTGAATTTAGGGGTAAAATCGGTAAAAAGGACTAAAACCTTAAAAAATTAACCAACTGAGGGATCAAAATCAATCAAAACTGAATACAAGGATGAATTTCAATTCGAAGGGGCAACACAGGGATGAAACGTGACATTAATCCAAAAAAATTTCGGAAGAGCCTAATTATGTGGGGGGATTGACTTGAACCCGTGTTCTCCTAGGGTTCTAACACTCACTTAACCGTTGCTTCACCCTAAATCCGCCCCTCGTTAGTTTTATTCCTTGTAATTAACAATATGGTAGTACACCTGCCAATCTAGCTTTTTTCTTTACATCCAGAACATGTGTGGTTCTCGGGTTTTCCAGATATTATTACTTCTATTGCTGCAACTAATGTATCCGCTAGCCGTGGACAATAAGCAATAAAGATATCTATCTAACCCTAACAAAAAGTTACAAACCAAACATTACTAAATAAGCAAATTGAATTCAAGTATAAAATAGAATTCAAATCACCCTATAGCAAATAAAGGCTGTAAAAATATAGGGTTAGTATAAGTGGTAAGTAACTTGATTCCGCTTAACAAAGGTCTCGAGTTCAAGTCCTCATGTCAGAAAATCTCTATAAGAAAACTCACCCACCATAATTAGGTGCGCGACAAAGATCAGATCCGGAATAGTCTGACCAAAATTTCGGATACCGAATGGGAAGAAAAAAGTTTTAAAAATGTGGAAAATCCTACAATGTGGAGATGGAGAATTCTTTTCAAATATTAGGGTATTGTGCTTTATGCACCCTGAATTTTGGGCATACATGATGAGGGCCTTTCCATCAAATCAGGAACCTTTAATTAAGTTTGAAATGAAATGTTGTCAACTGTTTTCAATAAGCTCGTCTAGCTCAGTCGGTTGAGCGCAAGGCTTCTAACCTCGTGGTCGTGAGTTCAAGCCTCACGGTGGGCGTTTTTTAAAAAAATTCCATATTCCATATTTCCATCAACATTCATAGTATATGTTGCTCGAAATTTTTTCTCCTTTTAGTATATTTTGCTCGTAATTTTTTTTAAAAAAACAACTGCTTGTTTTTTATCAATGATCATACCAAATGGACTTGGTTTTGGTCCCCTGGGGGACATCCGAGAGATGGACTTGGTTTTCTTTAGTGGAAGATTAATTTCTATGGAGGTCATTAATCATATGATTCATCCATGTATTCATTTGGTCCCACAAAATACTTATTTCCCAAAACTATATGCCTCTAAACACCTACTTTTTCTGCTTCCTGCTCAAAAAAAACACCTACTTTTTGTTAACATGTATCTTCTTAGAATCATTATTTTTTTATGAATTATTAGAACCATTAATTGTTGATCTGGTAATAGTTTGAGTAGAAATAACTAATTTTTTAATCATATATATCCTATCCATAATCATTATCTGTTGACTTGGTAATACTTTTAGCTAGTAAAGAGGGGAGCCCCGCAATCAAATTATCCCAAGTTATAAGGTTGGTGGACTACAGAGTTGAACTTATATACATATATATACCCAACAACTCTTAAGGCCCCGAAGTCCAACTTTAGGTTTTTCTTAAAAAAAAACTTTAGTTTCATTTTCTTATCACCTAGCTTAGTTCCCAACTATCGATTAACCCAAATTCCTATCATCATCATCAGGGGCGGATTTAGAAAATAAATTTAGGGGGCCAAAATATAGTATTATTAGGTTAGGGAATGAAATGTGTTGTATCAGAAAAGAAAGAAAAATTTAAGGATAAAAAACCATGCCATGACTCAAACCCCAACGATGTTGGTATACAAGGAGAATCTAATCACTAAACTACAATGTGATTTTTGAAATTTTATTACCATATATAGCTAATGAAAAATTCTAGGACGGACCTAGCCGCCCCTTACTCCCCCTATATCCGCCCTTGCTTGTCATTCATTTCCCTATTATTCTATCCTGCCTCATTTTTCTTCCTTCACCCCCTAAATCGAGAATAAGGCTATCTGCAAGAGTTCAACGATTATGCAAGTTGCGACATGATAGGGTTTTCAATTAATACTTTGAGAGTTTGGAATTTGGATGGATGATGGTTAAACAAATTAAGCGGGTTTTACGGATAACGAATTTGGTACTTCAATTTTCTTATATAACCAAATTAGTTTTTTTAACGACTATAATCAACTAAGAAGCATTTTTTAGGGTTTTCTCTTTTCTCCCCTTCTCTTAGAGAAAAACCATAGATCTACAATTTTGGGCTGCTGTCGACTTTCTTCTGGAGGTGAGCTCCCACCAAAATTTCTTTCAACTAGTTTGTTTTTGTTTTTGTTTTTAGTTTCGTTGGTTTACTCCCACTTTTTGTGAGTTTTGTCTCACTTTTTGTGAGTTGTTTTCTCTCCTTCAGGAGTTTTCTCACCTTTTTTGGTGTTTCAAATAAGTCTATGGGAATCAAAGTTCATGGAGGAAGAATCGCGAGTGATGTGCCTTTGTAAATCCTCTATTGAATGAGATAAATCACGTTGTGTATTTTTATGTAGTAGATTAAGAAGAATTCTTTTGTTGGATTTTTCTTATGTTTTTGCTATATTAGATCTTCAGCTATGTAATTTTAGATCTAATGATCTGTTTATATGAATGAAGATGCTCTTAAGTAGTTCACGGATATATGCCTTTTAAGGATCAAAATTATCACTTTTGTTGAGTATAATAAGGATAATATGATGAACTGATTTTTGGGGCTACAAGGGATTTGAACATTGGTGGGTTGATAAACCTTTTGTAGTATTGATAATCTTTTGATTGATATATATACTATTATACTATGTAGAATGTAGGTTACCCAAGAACCATTGTTTTCTTTTCTTATGATACCCCAACCATATGTCTGTACTTAGGAGGGAAGAATTCAAAGCTTCCGTTTGTTCAGGCCAAAAATCCTCCTGCTTCTAAATAGAGGACAAGGGGTCAATGTTCTAGAAAGTTCATAGAGAATCAAATCTGTGACGATGGAAGCTCTAGGGTTAGTGCAAATGACGACAGGTATATATTTGTTTTGTTTTCCATGCTTACCAGATCGAACGCCAGCGGCTCCAAGAGCAGTAATTCTCCTAAGCGCGGAACCCAGGCTTTCATTAGAAATTCATCATCAATTAAATTGCATGTGTTTCCCATCAATATGACGTTGAATGCTGATTTTGTTGGTAAACAATTTACTTTATAGATTTGATAATATATTTATTCTCATCCTGGTCATCCTGCCGACAAACCCTTTCTGCATGATGTAACTTAGGTTCAACCTTTCTACTCACCCAGAAAAGCTATTTTTTGGAAAAGAATAAAGGTTTGGTTAGTTGATGATAATGATATTTTAAGTGATTGAGGTGACATTCCATTGTTTTTCTTAGCATGGATGATAATATTATTTGCTTCCTTAAAATGTAATAATCTTGATGTGCCTCTAGTGGTAAGCGCATTGTTCTCTATCTCTATAACTTAAGGTTCCATCCTTTGCACCCAGTTAAGTTCCATTTATGTGATATGGCTCAAAGTGGAGGGTTAAGGGTGAGTATCTTTGAGCCCATAGTTAATCCAAGCTTCAGCCGAAGAATGATGTGATAATATTTTAAAAATATCGATATACGCAAACGACAGTTTGCAGTTTCGTTTAAACACAATCCTATGAAGTGTAATTTCGCCTGGCCTTGGCGTATTTATATACAATGCATCATCATTTTTTTGCACATTGGACGAGTCTTAATCGTTTCGTTTGATATACATCGAGTTTAAGGCATGTCTCTCAGTTTGTCTTTTTCTTTGTTTGGATACATAGATTAGGGACATATTTACAATCTCACAATTAATATTAGCACTCCCACTTATGAAAATTTGGAAGTGAAAAAGAGAAAATTATCCTCAATAAAAACATGTTAAGTCTTTATTATTCTAGAATACCTATCCCTTGGTAATTTGTTTGCAACTCATATTCCTCCTTATTGTACTTCATGCTAAACCTATACTCTCTAGTGTCCTTCAATTAAACCTAAATAGATGGAATCCCACTACAATTTTCTTCCCTCAGTGGTTCGGATCTCCTATACTCATATATATAAACATTATATATATACATAATATATATATATATACGTATATATATACGTATATATATGTATATATATATATGTATATATATATATTATGTATATATATATGTATATATTCCTCGCACCACATCACCCAAGAATTACAAGAGTCTCACCCAGATTAAAAAAAAAGTAAAGCTCAATCTATTGATCAATATTCCTCTAAAATACTACTGAAGTACTAAAGTGTGGTTAGTTAAGGTGTGTGCCAAATTATACAGCACATTGCAATAGCCACTAAAGAAAGGACGATGTCGGCAAGCAACTAGAGAACAGTGGCCAACCCAAGAACTTTCTTTTTTTTTTTTTGAAAAGTGAACAATTTTATTGAAATTAAATGCAATTACAAAAAAATAAGAGACATGGTGAATAAAAATGCATCCAGAAATCAATAAAACAATGGAAAATTTGCCCATTTATAAGAATGCTTTTAAAAAATTCTTAACATGGGCTTTTTTTTTCTTTTCTATTTAATTGGTTTAATCATGTATAATGAACTCAACTGTAGCTATCATAGATTTGTTTAGTTGTCACCTAGTTGTATACTTTTGTTTGTCTCCTATGCTTCATTTACAAGATGATTGTTTTTTCTTTTTTCACCTATATGGATGGGAGATATATGAAGGGTAGAGAAGAGGAAGGAATTACGAGTGTTGGAGAAGGAAGAGTACTATTTTTGGTTTTCTTCTTCACCTATGTAAAGTGGAGGTAGATTGACTTTCGTAAAGCCTACGACTCGGTTTTGTGGGATTTTTTTGATGGAAGTAATGGAGACTATGAATTTTGGGGTGAAGTGGAGATCTTGGATTCATATGTGTTTAAATGATGCAAAGTTATCTGTGCTCATCAACGGGTCTCCTTTGGATGAGGAGTGCATTTTCATGGGCTTGAAACAAGAAGATCCCTTATCTCCTTTTTTATTTAATCTGGTAGCTGAAGGACTCTCGTCAATGGTGTCGGAAGTTGTATCTAAAGGCCTTGTTAAGACTCTCTATTGGTCAGTCGCAGGTATCCTTAATGCAATTCGCAGATGATACGGTATTCCTTGTTCCGGATGATGTGGATTCTCTTTTAAATCTGAAAAGATGCCTGAGGTATTTTGAAATTCTTTCGGGTTTACAAATCAATTTTCACAAGAGCAGTGTGATAGCTTCCTGCAAGTATACAGGATTGTTGTAGCACACAAGGTCATCTCACAGGGATCTTTGCTAAGTATTATCTAACCGAGCAATTTATGATTATCTAGAAGAATAAATAATATTGAGGATTGATGTTTGAATTGGAAAATTAAAGCAAATAGAAATGATTAAAATTCAATAATATTAAATATCTAGGACTTCGGGGAATTCCTTGCCAACATTTCCGTGCAATTAAGCTTCGCATAAGCAGACTATGTCCTGTCACTACACAGCTAGCCTATATAAAATCTATGAATTAAATATGAAAATAAACTCTTTTAAAAGAAATGGTAAATCTAAGCTAGATTGATAACCTACTCTCGTAGTGCAGTAATGAAACGCCCCGACCCGTATTTACCGTACACAGTAAACACGTGCCGGAACTGTGACGACCCAACCAAAACAAGCCCAGCATACAGTGTATACAACAGAAACCCGGGCTCAACAGCCCAAAATAAAAACATCAATAATAACTCAACTGGCCCAGTGGCCCAACAATATCAAATAACTGCACAGCGGAAGACTTAATAACTCACAAAAACACTGTATGCGATATAGATGCAAACTATGAATCCGAGTCCTGTCCAAGGGATAACGCCGCAGCCTGTCTAGAATGCACCAAACCTGCACCACAAATAAC